CTGTCCCTGCCTCGAGCAGGTTGGGGGGGGGGGGACAGGACACCACGGCTGGGCTCAGGGCTGCCGGGGCACCCAGGGGGAGGGTGTTGCCTTCCTGGCGTGAGGAAGAGGGAAGACAGAGGGGTAGCGGGTGCGGGAGGGGTGGCCGGGAGCCGCGGTACCTCCGGTGCGTGGCTCAGGCTGTTTGCTCTTGTCCGCAGCTCCCTGCCTGCGGCAGCTGAGGAGAACCCACAGCACGGAGAGGGAACGAAGGCAGGAGCAGCTCCCAAGAAGAAGAGGAGGAGGAAAAAGCAGCGGGTGAAGGAGTGAAATAACGTTTTTAGGACTGCAGAGTGCCCAGCTGGGGCTGGTGGGGAACGCTCCTCCGCTGCCTGAACAACAGCGGGGCCGCTGAACACAAATAAAGCTTTGTGCCAGCTGCAGCCGTGGTGGAACTCTGTTACGCCCCGTTCCCCTGGGACCGAGTGCCAACCCCCGGGGCCACCCTATTGCCAGGGAGGGGGAACTGCTCACCCGGGGCTGGCCCTCGCAGCCGGGCCCCGGTAGAAGATCCTTACCCCAGCCTGATGCGGGGCTGCAGAAAGCCTTTGACTAGGGATGAAACGGATTAAAGTTTCTTTCTCTTCACTGTCTTTTCCAGCATGTTTGTGCAGTCTTGCCCCAAAATTGCCACTGCTCATAGCAGAGGCAAAGTGGGGGAGAAAAGGTGAAATAGTAATAACAACAGCACTAATCCCATCCATGCACCTGCCTTTGAACAGGGGACACACAAACCAGAGGGTGTTGGAGAGCAGTGCCCTGTACCGCAGCAGCAATGCCTGGCCCTGCTCGGACCCAGGAATCGAACACGGGCGAGGCAGACGTGAACACAGTCTTTTTATTTTAAACCAGGGACATAAGCAGCAAGGAAAAAAATTGCACATTCACACTAAAATCCTCATCAGCCACACCAGGAATGATCCAAGTCTTCAGTTTGAGTTAAAACCCAGCCTCCCCCTGGCCACGTACGGCAGCCCAGGCACAAGGGTCTCTCCCAGCAGGCTCTGCGTGGCGGGGAAGGGACGCAGCCTGGCTCCTCGCAGGGCTGGGCACTTGGGACCTAAATGGGGCAGCTACGGGGCGGGGGGGGCAGCACCAACAGG